GCAATTGGCAAAACATTTGAAAGCCACTTTACAAAGCATGTTAAACGGCAGAGTGCACAAAAGTTATTGCTAGAAATACAATATAAAATGCATTTATCTTTCATAAAGCCTATAAAAAAAAAAAAAAAAAAAAAAAATCTATAGGAATATGTACGCACATATATCTTCTTTTTTTATTGTGTGCTCAATTTCGTTTATTTGCATTTACAGTTTAGAATTTGTGCAGGCGTTTTTCCAATTTGTTTTTTCTGCGCTTAAAGCAATTTCCACATTCACACGAATCACAGCACTGCAAACTGAATATCAATTAAAATTTATCCCATATAAATTTATATACCCTTATACATATATACATACATATACAAATATGCATTCACATCAATGGAAAATTTCTGAATTGCGCATTGCACTCATAACGCAAATTAGTATTAATTAAAATTAAACAATTATTATATTTGGATAATCTCGCATGGACAAAAGTCACAATTAAATAAATAGAGAATACATAATCATATATTTAGTCATATCGATTGCMTGGCTCTGTGATTAATTGCATTGCAATTAAAGTAAATTAATTAATTGACACTCAAATCCGGGCAAACTTTTCAACTGCAAAAAAACGCAATTACTATTGAGCACTTTATTAGGTGTTAATTAATGTCAAAAGCGGCTTTATTAAATTTGTAATTGCCAAGCTTGTGTTTGCTCAATTTTCGGATATTTAACTTTGTAAATATATAATTATTTTGACAGTTTATCCACTGGCAAGAGTCAAATCAATTTCCATTTCAGTTAAGTATGCCCTATTTATTTATACGTTCTTTACCATTATGTAGGCCTACCTAGAAAATTAGAGCTGCGAAATGTAATATAGGAGCTCTAAGTATGTATAGGCCGATTAAACACTTTCGATAGCTATAACGAATTAACGGTAAATAGTTTGAGCATAGAATTCGTAGCAACGTTAAATAACAAAGATTGAATAAACTATATTATATGAACAAAGTAGAGCATAGATATAAGTTTGAAAGCTCTATCAGCCAATCGGTATATAAAGAAGACAAATTTCTCAATGAAAATTAATCCCAATTGAAATTTGATATAAGTTGAATATTGATTAACAATTAAATAATTTTTTTTTATTTAAAAGAATACTAATTTAATCGTAAACTACCATTACATTTCATATGATATTTTAAAAATATTTTTTAATTACGAAAACTGAATTATAAAACATTTAACCGAGATTTAAAACAAAAAAGTTTTCAAAATGCTCTATCAAATTTAATTGCCTTATAGTTCTAAAATATACAACCTTTAGAATCGAAGTAATGAAATACAAAATGAACAACTGTGGAAACTTTCTACTTTCAAGGTATTAAACTAAATGCAAGGCAAGCATTGACAGCCCCACCTGCTGCCGTGTAATTCGTTTCTATGTATTATTTAGACTAAATGAGTATTTAATTTATGATCCGCTAAGTTTGAGCTGCTCGCGGCTATCTACGACGTCTCACGCTCTTGGCTGCTGAGACGTGTGAATTAACAATTAAATAACAATAAGAAAACTCTTAACTTACGTGTATTTCTTTCTCCCTCTCACTCTCTCTATCTGTCTCTGTCTCTTGCTAGCAGCAGCCACAATGAATAAACAGCATTGACCCCGAAACACTTTTCTTATTTATTTTTTATTTTCGGGGGGGTTTTGTATTTTTAATGGAAACACGCAAATTCTCAATTGGGAATTTAAATATGTAACAGGTTTATTTGTACTTGTGTGTGTTTTGTGTGTGAGGGGTGCGTGCTATAAATGAATACGTTAATTAAATTTGATGCGCGACACTTTTTGTTGATGTTTGTACAAAAATGCACTTTTAAATCGAAAAACGTTTGGCTGGAATCATACATAAATATAGAATATTAGTTGTAATTTGATAAAGAGGCAGGCAGGCAGATTAATTTATGAAAATCCACAATGTGTGAAATGAGGTAATTTTTATTTAAAACGTACAACTACAAATTTTACGTCGAGCTAAACAGGTTTTTTCTTTTTGTATGTAATAAGGCATAGATAAACAAGCGCTGCAATGCGGCCAAATGGAAACCGAAACTGAAACCGAAACCGGAAAGCCGGAGCCACAAGAAAGCCCAGATTGAATACATATTTATTTTATATTAATTTCTTTTCTTTTTCTAACGATTTGCATGCATTCATATTTAAATAATAAATCTAGTCACGAAGCAAAAACAAATACAATTAATAGCACTGCCTCGCTCGTACACTCATGCAAAGGCAAAGCCAAACGCAAAAGAAATGAAAAGACAACAGACAACAATAAAAACGCAGACACAGCGAAGCACAAAAAAAAAAAGAGTTGACGTTGACGTTGACGTTACGCCGAACGTAGGCATAACGACGTAGCGATGTCAAATGTCGCACAAATCCAATTAAAAATAGTTAAAGTGACTTTATTTAAATAAAGAAATAGCTTCATTTGTTTAATAGCCTGTCTGGAATATATATATTTCTCAAGTTTTTGGCGTCATTGCTGCTGTTGCCGCATTGACACAGTTCGCGCTCTCTCGCTCGCGCTCTCTCATTCTTTTTGTTTTTGATTTTTGCCTTTGGTTTTTATGCCTTTGCACTCCACGTTGCTGGCGCTGTTACGCTGTTGTTGCTGCTGCTGCTGCTACTGCGGTTGTTGTTTATTTTTGTTGCATTTGTACAATTGTTACAATTGACGTGAACAATCAATTTTTAAGTGAGTTGTTTTTATGTGTTTTGTTTCAGAGACTACGTGTATGCGAACAAAGTTAAAAGAAAAACAAAAACATGTTGGCAAACACAAACAAGACACAACACACGCACACACAAACACTCAGAAGCAGAGGTACGCACGCACTCACACACACACTGACACTATTTTAGATTAGTTGTGCGAGGCAAGCAACAGCAACAACAAAACACGGCAGTCAGCGCTCGATGGCTATGATTCACTTCGGCGAGTGTTGCTTTTATATAAACAAATGTGCATTGCAGAATTTTAACAAATCTTAAAATACACACTAATTATGAGAACAGAACAATTATAATTACAATAATGTGATGCGACGCTAGCGGCGTCGGCTGCTGCACCGCGTAAGCTTCTGCGTCAATGGGGAACTTATTAATATTTATTTTTTTATAGTGTTCTTTTTATTGTCGATGTCGCACGTATTGTCAAAAACACGTAAATATATTCTTGAAATCTTGTTTTCGAATCTAGCGCAAATTGAGCAATCAACAAAAATTTATCCGCGCCTAGAAATCACGACGGCCAAAAGTAGCAGACTGACTGTTATTAACAGTAAGCAATTCCTGGAAAAGGCGATTTGACAGTAGAGATGCGAGCGCAAAAGCGGCTGTCAAAAACGATGACACTTTTGTATCGATATTACTTATTCCATTTTAGATACATCTGTTTTTAGTTCTTGGCGCCAATATTTACTCTGCTAATGATAAGGGCGAAGTCCGTCTGTTATTTATCGATAAATTATTGTTGGTATTTTTCGCCGAGTAACATATGTTCGTTATTCGCCGTAGCTGTTCGCTCCATTAATTCGATCAAACAGAAACAGAATTTGCACATTTTTCATTTACCCTTAAAGAAAGTTGATAAAAATGTGTCTCATTTAGCATATAATCGATCGAATATCATATTGCCATCATGGATCAGCTTCTGGAAGAGGTAAAGTATTAAGCAAATGTTTTGGGTGTGATACAGAAATTTAGCAGATTTTGTAATGCGTAAATTTTTTGTTTAGGTAAAAGCAAATGTGCAGCAGAAATTCAGTGAAATACGTGCTGCATTACATATGCGTGAAAAATTACTGCTGCGCCAACTGGAGGTAATTGCAAATACGCAACGAGAACAATCAGCGCCCGTTTACATAGAATACGACAATGAAAATAAAAATGAAAAATGCGAAGTGCGATTCGTCACGGGCGACAATGAAGAAGAGGAGAAGCTGCTAACAGCTATTCGGAGTTTTGGGCAGTTTCAACTGGACAGCAATATGCAGTTGGCGCTCCATCGGCTGCAGGACGACAGAACAGCTGGTCTGCGCAACGAGGACTACATTGAGCCGGTCGATGACCATGAGACCATGTACAAATGCCTGGAGGATCGGGTGGACAGCAGCAACTACTTCAATCTGAATGATGAGGTGCAACCAGAGGCCATTGTGGTGGACTTTTCGCGCAACAAGGCGTTGCTCGAGGACAACGCCAAGCGATCCATTATCAATATCACCTTGCAGGAAGCCAAAGATCTGATACGTCGAGCTAAAATCAAGCGCGAAACATTTGTGCCACCGCTCAATCTAGAAGAGCTGGACGACGAACTGGAATCGTCCATAGCCGACGCAGTGTCGAGTCTCGGACGCAGCTGCCCCGATCAGCCATCTGGCAAGCAGAAGCCAAAGACGCGCAAGCCACGCTTCAAACCAAAGATAACCATAAACAATTGCAATGGCACCATCAACCTGCGCAACATCTCCAGTCTCACCATCAACTGTGCCAGTGAGGATGCTGTCAGCGCTGATTTACCCCTAACCGATGGTGCTGCAGCTGCTGCTGCTGCAGCGCATACAAACTTACATCAAACGCTCTCAGCGGACTCGAGCAGCACCGCCACCGAACTATCCAGTTGCACACCTACCAGCTCCAACTACTCCAGCAATGCGAGCTCTCGTTCCCAGTCCAAGAAGCACAAAGGCGCTAAGAGAACAGACGTCAAAGAGGAACCTTTCAAAGCCAAGAAAGAACCGCATTCTGAGAGTGTGGAGAGCACGCCCACACAGCCCACCTCAACGGATACCAACGAAGTTACCTGTGACTTTTATAATCGCCTCCTAAACGAAATCAAAAAGAGTCTAAAGCAGAAGCCAACGCGCACATATGAAGCCGCACAGCAAGAGGCAGCAGCAGCCGCAGCWGCAGCAGCAACAGTCACAAGCAGCGATGCAGTGCAGCCAACTACTGTTGCAGCCGACTCCAGTTGCGAGGAGCAGAGCCGAGGAGACGGGCCGGTCCATGTCTCCAGCACGCAGGGCAGTGAGGCCAGCAAGACAACATTATCATCGCAGCTGCAGCCGGGCAAGCGATTGGTATTGAAGAACTTTGAGAATTTGAAGATTATTTTGGAGGCCAACAGCGGCGACGAGGAATCATTTCATCCGGTGCAAATTGAGCAGTGGCTGGCAGAGATTATATCTGAAACGGACCTGGAACCCATGCAAAACACGGACATACTCGAGCACAGCAAAATCCATAGCACCGAAAGCAACTGAGCGCAAAGAGTTTCAAAAAGCATCACAGTATTTCATAGATATACATAAAGCATATATATATATAATATAGTATCTGTAGATTCCTTAACTGGCATTACTCTCACATATTCACGGCTTTTGTGGTCCAAGTCTATGCATTTAAGATTTCGATATGTACCCCCCCGAAAAAACTAAAACTGAAATGTTTCATGTACTTAAACTTAGCCTGAGTACTGCTAAATGCACTTTATTTTGTGAATTCTACATCACATTCCAAGACTTAAGAATCGCACTATATATTACAATACACACTTAAGTTTAGCACCTAAGATTTAGGCCAATTTCGTTGTCACCATATTGCAAACCAAAAAAACATATTTGTATATTTCATTGGAGTGAAAGCGAAACGATTTAAGTACGCAATTCACATGTTTTCAATCCAAAAGACAAATCAAATTTCATTCACATTAACCGGTTGAAGACCAGCACAGTGGTCACTCGCTAAATATAAAACTGTTCCGTATAGATTGACGATTTGTCACAATTTCCAAAACATAAATAGTATTACACATTTTTGAATATCAATTTAATTCACTTGCTAAATAAATATAAAATTATTATTTATAAACTTCAAAGTGTTTAAAAACAAATATGAATAAAAACGTTTATCAAAAGTAAAGCTTAATGCGTAGTTTGTGAATCGCAATGTCGAATTTGTGAGTGCTCACTGTAGTAAGAATATATTTCATCATTTACTTAGGGAACGTGTCAGGCTGATTGTGCGCTAAGCTGAATTCAAATGCCAAAGTTGGACCACTCGACGCCGCGTAATGGGGTTGGTTTGCATTTGCCTTCCAAATATGCCTGACTGATAAGCATATTGAATGTTGAATGGCAAACGAATAGTATAGAATATCGCTTATTGTCTATGTACATATGTATAGCAATGAATAAGGTACTCAATTTGTCATCATGATTAGCTAAAACTGAAGTTTAAACAGAAATTGAGTCTTAAAATTGTGATTATTACTAATATTTGCACGCTTTCGTCTTAAGAACTAGAGAATTTCCTGATCCCATTTAAGTACACTTGATATGGAGGGAGCTTTACTCAGGGGCAGCCTCATCTCAACTTAAGCGGAGTTGCTGATTATGTCCAGCATGTAGGGAGTGAAATAGGTTATAATACAATCGGCGCCTGCACGCCTGAAGCCCTTCATTGCCTCCAGCACAGCATCACGGAGCGGGAAGGCGCCCGCCTTCGCTGCATGGCAGAGCATGGCATACTCCCCCGATACCTGATAGACGTACAGGGTATGGTATGGATAGGTGTCTTTGGTCTGACGCAGTATGTCCAAGTACGGCATGCCAGGCTTAACCATCAGCATGTCGGCGCCTTCACTAACATCGCGCTGTACCGCCCGCATGGCCAGGTTCCGAGACCCGCTGGGCAGCTGATAGCAACGACGATCTCCGAAGGCGGGCGCTGACTTTGCTGCTTCCCTGAAGGGACCGTAGAAGTTTGAGGCAAACTTGGCCGAGTAGGCCAGTAGTGAAACGCTGGTGAGTCCAGCGTCCACTAAAGCCTGCTTAATGGCTCGCACCCGGTTGTCCATCATGTCAGATGGGGCGACGACATGTGCACCAGCCTTACCATATGCCACAGATATTTCCGCTATGCGCTTTATACTCGGCTCGTTCTCCAAGCCATTGTCGCCCAGCAGACCGCAATGGCCATGTGACGAATACGGACAGATGCACACGTCACATGCAAGCAGCAGAGTGGGAAACCATTCTCGTAGCTTGGGCAATGCCAACACCACGGGATTCACACTCGAGTCAGCGTTCGTCGCTTGATCGTCCTTGTGCTCAGTTCCCACCACGCCAAAGAGCAACACAGAGGTCAAACCTTTTTTGACTAGCGGCTCCAAGTGCTCGCGTAATCGGTTTAGCCCGTATCGCGAAATGCCTGGCATGCTTGCAATGGGTTGCACTTCATCGTCGTTGCTGATTATGAAGACAGGATACATCAAGTTATGTGGCAGTATTTCACAGCCAGACTCCTGCAGCAGTCGTAGAGTTGGATGATGTATAGCACTATGCAGTTTGCGATCCATTTTTACTTTAATTTGTTCCGCAGCAGCGGTGCACGTCTTATGAATGAAATTGTGCTTTTCACTGAAGAGTGGAAATCGCATGTTGACCAATCGATTGCTTCAGTTAGTTGTTATCGATACTGTAATCGGAATTGTTGGCGTATCAGTGCGCGCCAAATTGAAAATGCTTTTTGTTTTCTATAGACTGAGAGCAAATATTCATAAAAAAAATTGTTTATATTGCGTACGACATTTTATTACTGTTTTTATTCAAATATATCAAGTGACATCAGCCATCAGCTACACTCCTAACACTCCATTTCTCATAAATACGCTTTAAAGTGCGTCTAATTGAAAATTTACTTGAGTTCTAATTATATATAGAATATTATGTATGTTTATGAAAATACTAGACATTAATTATAATGTTAAATAATTAAATAAGCACAAATAAATACATAACACTTTTCGCCTTCTTTTCTTCTTTCCTTTGAGCCTGACTTAGTTTTAGTTTTAAAATCAATGAACGTAAAACACAACTAAATCCTAACTTAAATTATATCAATTGGACTTTAAGTATTTGTTTTTGGTTTGGTTATCAGATGCTAGTTACAGCCCTTGGAAGTCTATTTTGTTGTTTTATTGTTTTGGGTGCTATTAGTGATGCTAAGTAGTTTCTTTGTCTTTTTGGTTACATTTGATGAATAGCCTCCACTAGGAAACCAGGGCATGATGGTAATGCACACGCTTCTTACGTCGCTTCTTGAGGGGCAAAATATTGTTGTGTAGACTCTGTGGCAGCTGCTGCGTCTTGGCAGCATGCAATATCACGGTGTAGCTGTGCAGTAACAGCGGCTCCTTGGTGCTGAGCTCAACTGGATAGATTTGTATTGTGGGTGTGAGAACAATTTGCGTGTTGGATGTAGCATTTTGGATACACGATGTGGGTGTTGTTGCTGCTGTTGTTGAGTTCGTGCTAGTTGTAAGCTGTAATTGTGGTGCTTGTCGTCGTCGCATAACTGCTTCAATTTGAGCTGGTCAAGCGAAAGTGACTTGATAGAAGAGCCATTCTTCCATGAATGACGGCACAAAAGCTTTGGTTGTAGTAAACTTAACCTTCGGCTTAAGCAATCGTAGCTGTTCCTCGAACAACTGCAACGATTCCAAGCAGCTTGTGCCATTGCCATGAGTCAGATATTTGCCATCCGGCTTGAGCAGCTGGAACGAATGCTCAAAGATAGTACGTATAAAATCCCAGCATTCGCCAATAGGTGCATCCGAAATGGGTATATCAGTTAGATCGCCAAAGACATAGTCAAACTTGCGCCCCTCCGCAATGAACTTCTTCATATAGTCCACGCAATCGCCCACTATGATCTCATATTGATCGGTTTTGCGCTTCTCCAACACATCGCCACAAATGCTGCTCAGATACTTGTTGCAGGCCTGCATAACAAGCTCATCAATTTCCAGCATGACCACATGCTTGGGCTTCTCTTTGAGCAGCTCATAGAGCAGAGCGCCATCTCCGCCGCCCAGTATACATATCTCCTTGCCCTCGTAGTTCTCAATGCCGCGGCCCATTAGGGTTTCCGTATAGATCAAATCAGATTCCGCAATATCTGCAATGGCAAAACATTAGCAACCATTAGCAGTTGATTTAATTTCAGCTCGACTGCAACAGCGACACGTGACGTGTACCAAGTAGGCCTTGACCTCAATTTGATCTGTGTGGCATGGTCCTCGACCCATGCAGGGGTTGTAAATTAACGTGCCACCATGCCACTTTGCCAACGTACCACCGCGACACCGAGTGCCTATGTGTAACTTACTCTGCAGCTCGTCTAAAATTAGCATGTTGCCCAGCGTCTTGGAGTGCAGAATTTGAATCTTCTGGAACGGCGAACGAGCCTCATAGACAAGGGTATCAATATCGTACTCAATAATGCGCTCATCTGCGAATCAATATTCAAAAGTTCACAAGGATTAAATATATTATAGACTCAGGCTGCAAGCTATTCACAACAACTGCAAACAAATAGCCTAGAGATCCTATATATACAGAACAACATACATGCATCAAAATTAACTGAAATAAAAACAGATAAATAATTAAACAAACTAAATTACAAACAAATCATACAGATAGAATACTGAACAGATAATTAAAGGCCAAATAATAATAATTGCTCAAAAGTAAATTATTCGAATCTCAAATGTAAGTATGCAACATGCCTTGTGCTTTTATCATGTATTTGTACGCAGTGCGAAAGTTGCTTTCAACTACTTATGACTTATGATTTAGCTTTTATAGTTTTGTTTTCTTATTTTGATTATTTTGTATTATGATAATAGAGTATACGGTATACGTTACCTGAGGATGGATAATACCTAGCGACATCGCCGCGCTTCAATGTTGGTATCTTTTGACCCGAAAGGGCTTGCAAACTTTTTGCTAGGGCATTTTCCAAGCGTTTGCCCTTCTGCTCAGTTGTTGAGTGGTTAATGTACATAGTGGTAGATGGAGTTGTTGTTGTTGTTGTTGTAGTTGTTTCAGTTGGTACCATGAGAGCGAGCGAGCGAACGAGCGAGCGGGGCAGGTGACACAGGTGCATTGGGCGTACGTACAATTTAATTTGGTTTACACATTTTGTTTGATTATAATTGAAGAAATTTCGATCATGGTTGTAAAAGATTGTCATAGATGATGATCATAGGCGATGATGGTGTTGATGTTCATATTGATATATTGATGTGTTGATGATGATGAAGAGAAGACCAAAGACATCGCATAGGTTTCATTTTTGTGTATTCATGGATATGAAAATAAAAAGAGTTTATAGAAAAAAATCAAAATAATTAAGAATTCTTAAAATAATTCAAATAATACGTTGATCGTTTTGATTTTAATTTAGTTACTTATTTTTTTTTTCTTTTCGGTTTCAATTCGATTTCTAGCACGACGGAACAAGCATGCAAGAACTGCCGAAATTAGAAGGCAATTGCTATAGGTAAGCTAGGCAGCAAACCAATTTATATAGTATTTTGTATATTACATGGATGTTGTGGGCTACAATGAACGAAAACGAAAACAAGAAACACTTTTGGTTGTAGTGTGAGTGACTGACAAGCCGTTTGCGAATTTATAGAGCCACACTACAATGGCTAGGGGCCGTGCAACCAAATAGTTGATGAATATGGATTTATATATTTGTCGAATCGATATATAAAGTGAATAGAAATTTGGATTGATTATAGTTGTTTTTTGCTCTGCTTGGGTTGCAAGTTTTTGGCAATTGATTTTGAAGAGAGAATTCGGTAGAGGAAGAGTAAATACAAGGATTGCGAAATTCTTTGATATAGTTTTGCATATATAACTAGCAAAAAAACTAAACTTATATGTTTTTGTTTGTTTTTTTTTTTTTTTTTTTAAATATAGTATAGATATTCGACCAACCTGAGCTAGTCATGTATATGTCAATATATCCACCACGTTTTATAGGCGGTAAATACTTGGATCGATCGGAATCTAATTTCTGACGTAGAATAAGCTCCATTGTTCGCATGGTCTGCAATTGTAATGTTTCTTATTTAAGCTTAAAGAACATGACCTAAATATTATTTACCTACTGGAGACATATCAAAGCACATAAATTGCAAATGTAAATGCTGTGATGAAGTTAATTAATTAAGCAAATCAAAAGGAAACAATAAAATACACAATTCCATTCAGGTAGGAAGAGGAAATTTCCCGCAGCCACAAACTTTTGAATCGGCCCTTGTTAGTGTGGAATATATATACATATATGTATCTAAATAAGTTTATAGCCAGCACCGCAAACAACTATTTATAGTTCAGATTGTAGATTCATACGAAAATGGTAGGTATTCCTTAGACAAGTGCAGTTTCATATGTTTTATACTACATATATACATTTCTTTAGTCGAAAGTGAATGTAATACGGTAAGCTTGAATTGCAGGCTATACTAGTGATTTGATATTGTACGTCTGTATGTACACATGTATTCGTTCTGTTCCGGTCTGATTTAGCTTACTATAAACATAAACAAAAGCTAACTTTACTGAGAAGCGCAGCTGGTCAGTGCAGAGCGAATACAAATCATTTCAAGAATTCCCACATATTTACTCAAACCTGCAAACACGTGCTTCGAAGAAGGCGAGTGAGAGAGAGAGAAAGCTAGCGAGATAGAAATCATGCTAGCTGCCGGGCCGATGGTCGCATACCCTAATCAAGATTACAAAAAGCTATCTCGCTCTTTTACGTTCAAGATTATGTGAAGACTTACAGTTTAAATGTACTAAATAAATAAATAAACATGCTATTATTACAGTATACCAATTAGATAAGCTATGATATAAGAATTACAAGTCAAGTCTATACCCATACATAGTTAAATTTTAAGGTCTTGGCCATGTGAAGCTCGAATGCCGTGAAATACGATGCGCCCATCGCCTTCCACTCCCACTTTTGAAGGGTGCAAAAACAATGTTAACGGAAAACAAGAGTGCTCTAATTCAGAATGTTCGACTAGTAGATACTCTGCACCGTAAATATGAAATGTCTAGGTCTAAAAAACTACGTCGAAATATCTATTGTTATTGATAATATGAACCCATAATGTATAATATACGCAGAGTATAAATTGCAAATATCAAGACACGACCTTTTATAGTTTATTTCGAATGTTAATAACACTAAATACCCTGAAAACCCATTTTCAGGAGGCTCTGGGTATAAAAACGGTCAAGTGCATGAGACACACCCCCGCCAAGGGGCCTCGCACACACACACATCCACACATACAGTTACGAAAAATCAATTTCACTTCCCGTTGCCGCTTTGAGCCCTTTTTGGTTCCTCTCACATACACACACACACACAAACATTTCACAGATAGTCGTAGTCTCACTGTACGCCTGTGGCCGTGATTTACTTTCACACGTGTATGTTAAAAAAAATACATATATAAATATATGTGTAGGTGCAAAATTTTGTTTCATAAAATAACTATGGTGCGTATTTTATACATACATACATCTAAGGATAAGACTGGTTCCTTTCCGGCAGCCAAGTAATACTCCACATTGATGGTTAACAAACCCTGTTGGAAGATGCGGCACGTTATAATTGTCTCCTTATTCTCGTGCAGCACCGAAAAGTATCCATTATCCATGGATTCCATAGAATAGGCAAGCTCCAATTGGGTGAACACATGTTCTAGCTCGTTGCGAACAATACGGGCCACTTCTTGGCGTTGTATTGAAGTCGCTGTTTTTCCAGCATCCAGTGTAAAATCAAAAAGTATTGTCTGGGCAGCCATGGCGAAATTGTCAGAGGTTCAACCCGCCGAATGTGCAAAATACGAATGCAGGTTTTCCTGGTGCTGGATGCGCTTTTATTCTAGCGATACGTGATTAGATCGAGTATGCCATATCGATATATTCTTGTGTGAGTAAAAAGTGTGGCCGTATGCTTTCTGAGAAATAAATGTGTTCAACTCGTAATCAGCTGTTCGATTTGTTTACCTTTTTGTTTCTTTTTTAGTTTGAAATTATAAATGAAATTGGGCCACAATCTACCTGTACCAATTAAATCTCATATAAAATATGTGAGCTACATTGACATTTCAAGGCGAACAAATTTTTATGTAAATTCTTTCGCATTTTGAATTTAATATTTGAAACAGAATTTGAACAGTATAAAAGTAATTAACATATCTATGTTAAGGCAATGTTAAGTATGCTCCCACGATAGACGATATAAAATTATGAATCTAATGCCAATGCAATCGAGGAATCGAGTAACCACTGTCAGAGTATCGAGTAACCTAAGCAAATAAACAAAATTTATTTTGCTTTAGTGATTGCGGGCACCGAACAGGCATACAATGTGCTAAAAGGTACAAGGTCGTGAAATAAAGTGTCAATGCTGCAGAGTGCCTGAACCTGAACTTGAAACAAGTTGTGACAAAAAGTGTGTGCTTGTGGTGCTGCTGTTATTGTTGTTGTTTTCTATTGCTGTTGGCCGAGACTTCGCCAGACGCCTCGCCTCATAGGCGTTCAAGGCAAAGAACTGCGGGTTCGTTTGGCGGCAACAATAGGCTGCTAATTATAAATCCCAGCATAAGAGCGCACTGGCGCACAAATCAAGTGATGTCGCTAGCAGTCTTTTTTTTTTATTATTTATTTTTTTATTTGCGCTTTCATCGTGCGTGGGCGGACGTCACAGCCGCAACATCGCAGCATGCTTTGCAGATGCCAATTTCGTTACGTCGTCGTTATATAGTTCTTTTTGTTTCACCACCCCCTTTTGTATGCTATTTGCGCGGCCTCTTTCAGCAGCCCTTGCCCGCGACTGTTGGCGCCGCCAGCATTGCTCTGGGCAACGCCAAAGCAAGCGGGCAGGGTGGATTTAAGTGTTTCGCTCCGCGACAGCTTTTTTATTACATGTGCTTACACTTTATATACACATATTGATTTTTTGCTTTTCATTTTCGCCCACACAGCTGTTTCTGCAAATTGTGGTTTTTTATGACCAGGAGAAGTCGCAGAAGTCTAAATCACAGGTGAGTTGCGTGCATGGGTAGCTATAAAAAGAAAAGTAATTATAAAATTCTCAACATATTTGTAGGCAAAGGCACAGCACAATTCGTTGCTCACCATGGGCTGAGCATAGCAGCAGGGAAACATCACATATGGAGTGCAGCCTATTCGAATTGTAGTCAGATTTTCGACACATTTTATACGCACAAGAGGCTAATTTGAAAACGCTAAATGTAAACACTATCGAAGCACAATTGAAAACATGTGATAATAGCTGATGAAGCACAGTATTACACCTGCAGAGACTTGCATGAGCAGCTAACGCCTAGGATTCCCAACAAACACAACTCGAATATAAACTTATTTACCTCACTGCATCCACACAATTGTACATCATGCAGCAGAGTGGAACTGGCAGTGAGGAGCGCATTACCGGCAGTCCACGCAGCGCACAAAAGACTAGCACCTTGTTTGGGCTGTTGAGCAAGCGGCCCAGCAAGGTGGAGCCACATCCTGTGACACCTGATTCCCCAAAATCTCAGCGACGACCAACGTCTGCTTGCGGACAATATGATGTCAGCTTTGCCAAATGCTCGGCGGAGTCGAGCAACAATCACAAGAGCCAAACGTTGCCAGCCAACGCTGCCAATTGCAATGCCACGCAGATGCTGGATAAATCGCACAGTGGACTAATAAGCTTCCATAGACGGGGCAATCCAACGTCAAAGAGCAAATCTCACACTCATCGGTATAGCGATACGGGCTCCCAAAGCGATGGCGGCGCTGACGTCGTAATGCGTCGCAAGTCGCCTAAGAAGCGTTCGCCCAATCACAATAGGTTCAGCCATCAGTTCAGCCTGTGCTGCAAGGCTGAGAAGAAGCCCATGACGCCACCGGTCTCTGTGCGCTATAATTCGATACCCGATGCCGTGGTTAATGCAACGGCAAGCAACGTGCTGCGGCGCGACAATCTGTCGCTCAGCTGGAGCATGATGGATAATTCGGGTTCGATGAATTCGCATTCAAGCGAAGGAGCTGCTTCGTATCAGCGCCCGCGACCATCGAGCGAGTGCGCCAGTGCACCCGAATCTCCAGTGGCCAGTAAAACCTTCTTTGAGCAAAGCGGCGCAAGCGCCACCGGCTCTACGCACCAGCATTTGCACTACTCTCCATCCAGTTCATCCAATAAGAGTGACACCGTGAATCGGGCACCCATTCGACCCATCGCTGTGTCTGCTTGTCGTTCACGATTGCGCCTCAAGTTGTTTCCGCCTGGTCAGGAGCTGCCGCCTCTGCATTCAGAGGAGAGTGCAGAAACTTTGAAGCGTGCCACAACGCCGCAGCACATGTCCTCGCCGAACATTGCCACACAGCCGGATACGCTGGATGTGGGCATCCAGGAGATGCCTGGTATGCGTTTCATGTCGCACGAGAACATGACGCTGCGTCGCCAAGGATCTGGCTCCAATTTGGCTCGCCAGGCATTGATGGCAGCGCAGGCATTGAATCTCATACCGGCGGACAAAGCACGGGAGCGTAGCTATCTGGACGGACGACTGGGCTCATCCTCGCTGTTGGGACCAAGCGAACTGAGTCGCGTGCTCCCCCAAAAAGAGGTCACCATATTCGTTGGCACCTGGAACATGAATGGCCACAGTCCACCCAAGTGAGTGGGAATTCCAATAAACAATATTTCCATATTTATAATTATCTATTTTTTTTTTTTAGACAAATGAACGATTTTGTGCTACCTTCGAATGTGGAACATGTGCCCGACCTGGTTGTTATGGGCACTCAGGAGTCCACGCCGGATCGTTTTGAATGGGAAGTGACGCTGCAGGAGACGCTGGGTCCGTCGCACGTGCTTTTCCATTCGACCACACTCGGCACCCTTCATCTGGCTGTCTACATGCGGCGTGATCTCATTTGGTACTGTTCGGCGCCTGAGGATGCTTCGATGTCGGTGCGCACGGGCTCGGCATTTCGTACCAAGGGCGCTGTGGCCATCTCGTTTTGCCTGTTCGGCACATCCATGCTATTCGTGACTTCCCATTTAACCGCACATCAGCAGAAGGTGAAGGAGCGTGTGTCCGATGTCAAGCGCATTATAAACGCATTGGATCTGCCCAAAAATCTGCCAAACATGCGTCACAAGAACAAGGATGTTACGCAGAACTTCGACAATGTGTTCTGGTGTGGCGACCTAAACTTTCGGCTGGGCGAGCCACGCGAGAAGCTACTCGAGTGGATACAGAATACTAAATTTCCGTTACCCTCGCATTTGCCACATGGTTACATGCACACGGATCAGCTCTCGTCGGTGCTGGCCGATGGCGCTGCCTTCCGTGGCTTCATGGAGGCAAATATTACATTTCCGCCAACATATAAGGTGAGCTTTGGAAGCGCGATGTCAACATTCAGTGTATAATTGTGTGTGCTCATTTTCAGTATGATCCTGGAAGTCAGAATTTTGATACGTCTTCTAAGCAGCGTGCGCCTGCTTATACGGATCGCATTCTCTACAAATACCGTCAGGTGCAGGGATTAGTCATACGCCGACAGAGCACTGTGCCGGGTGTATCTACGCCCACGCAGCCTTACGTCCAATGCTTGCTGTACGATTCTGTGCCGTCTATAACTACATCTGATCACAAGCCAGTGTGGGCTTTGTTTCGCACACTCATCCGTGCTGGCACCGATGCGTGAGTGGCTGCCAAATAGTTGGAAGCAACAACAACTCAAATATCTCTTCTTTCTTTCAGTATACCCCTTGCTGCTGGCCTGTTTAGTCGCGACATTTACTTGGAGGGCATGCGTCGTCGTCTGAATAATCAATATACGGGCGCCTCCGCTGTCTGTGCCATTCAGTAAAAGCAACAAAGTACTTATATATATATATACATATATAATATCCTAATATCTAAATCTATTCAGTGAAAAATGCTAGTCATGTTAACTATACCAAATCAGCTTATAAGCTGTCCCAATGCTTTACCACGGTTGTGTGTGGCCTTTATAGCATAGTCGTTAGTTAGTCGTTAAATTCTGTAGTCGAATACCGAATACTCTACTTGATACCATGTTCGAATATATGTATATTTAGTTGATAGGCGCTGCCGTTGCCTTGAGGCCTTAATGTAAAACGTTCCTTGCGAAATAGGGGCGCAGTCATAATGGAATCTAATTATAGCCCAAGCATTAGTGTATAGGCTAGTTGAATCTATTAGCTAATAATTTAGTGCAAATATAAATGAAGTGAAAAGTTGAATGTGAATAATATTAAATAGCAGTAAATATACATACATATACATATAAATATTTAATAGTATTGTGCGAACAACAGTTGTTAATTGTTATATTTATAATTAAGTWTATATTTATKATTTGAAGCTTGTTGAATTTTTGTTGTTTTAAGTTTGCTCTGCTAAAACGTTGAATTTATTATTTATTATAATATACATATATATATTTATTTTGTATCTATATATTTAGTTTATCTTTAATATGTGCATTAACATTTTGCCATTGCAATAACAGCTATTGGCAGTGGGGCGACGGCCCTCGACAAAGCGAAACTCATAAGCGGAGCCCATGAGAGCAAACCAACAGGCAAGCAGGCTGGCAGGCAGGCAGGCAGGATGTGCCCGCGGCTGGCACTCGACTGTGCAGCCGCTCGTTTATTTACCCAAAAAATGCGCCAAAAAGGCCAACATCAGCAGCCGGAGTCGCATGTGCCCCTTGAGCCCCCTGCTCCCCTGGCTGCGTCCAGCATGCAGCAATTCAAACCGTAAAGCCCTCTCCGCACACACGCAAATATGTTAAACTTTTGACCAATTTCAACTCGAGTTGGATGCCGCTGGTGAGCGACCGTTGGACGCGCTGCAATTTATTGCCATGGCGATTGGTATCGGCCGATGCTGGCAGCATCGACATCGGTAACGACATCCATGTCCCATAAGTAGCCCCGCGGTGCTGCAGCCGGAACAGTTCGGTTGTGGTTATGACCATGTGGATGCCCCTATGTGTGTGTGTGTGCGAGTGTGTGTGCTTGCACTCTTGTCAGTGCGTCTCGGTGTCATCCAATTGACCAAAATCATTGAAGGGCCCCAGCGCGGTCCAGGATGAGTCAAGTGGCTGTGTATTGGCCAGTCTGTGTGCCGCGGCTCCAGCCCTCAACAAACCCAAAAAAAAGAGGAAAAATACGAGCAAAACGAGGAAGAATAAGAGCAGCAACAATAACCGTTTTGTTTATTGCAATTTCTGCGCTGCGGTTGCCATTTGGCAGTTGCTGCTAGCGAAATTCATAAAGTTTGTGCCTACTTTTCAAAGTGGGTTTGGGGCGATGCCCGAAATTAGTTTTTTGCAGCTCAGCTGGGAATGCATTTCACATATTTGTATCACATATATTTATTATATAAATGCTGCAATGCTGGCTAGTTATTGTTGAGCCAACAATTTTGCAAACTCATTTCCGTTGCTCGCATCGCACGTACGAAAAATTAACCGCAATATTTGAAATTATATTAACATTGAAGTCAGCCAACTTGGCGCATAAAAACTGTGTGCCTGTGTACTTCTGTATGTGTGTGTGTGCTGCACATTAATATCCTGTGCGCACTCGTACGTGTTAATATGACTTTATGACTTCATATGTGTCCATATTTTTTGTCGTCTCTTTTGGCGCTTCACACTAAAAAGTTTTATTGTTAGTTACGCCGCTCTGCCACTGCTGCTGCCAGCATCAAAGCAACAATTTTTATTCAAAGTGTTGGAAGATGCACAAATTATTAAAATTTCGCATGTGCCACCCCTTTGGGAGCCTAAGTACCTTCTGCCATGGCTGCATTCACTGCATATATATCAGGCACTCGCATCGTCAGACAGTTGAATTCTTGATATGTAACTGCAGAATGGCAAGAGGGATAACGATGTGGATTATGATGGACTGACTGACACGCTCACTGTGAAAGCAAGTGAGCTATTATTCTATGGAAAATGTCGAATGAATATGGCTCTGTTCTATATGAAATCCCAATCATAGAAAACGTCAGTCTCTTTCGGATTCTTCAGCCCTAAAAAGTATGCTATATATTTTGTAAATGCTCATCTCAATCCAATATTTATTTATTTTATTACTTATTGCACACATATGCATTAGCTATCACTGTGTTTCAATGGGTATCCTATCTCAGGTCATTTCGGTGCTGTCAGATCGTTAACAATGAAAAGATGCTGCAGTTAAGCAGCGCTCATTGCTGCCGGCGTTCCCATTTTCCATATGGGTTTTTGGGTAGGGCCGCCATCTGCCACTTGGCAGTCGCCGAAGCCACTTGAAAGCTTATTGTACATTTCAAACAACTCTATTACGAATATTTTTCATATTTTCTGCGCAGCAGAGGAAAAAAAAAAATAAAAGAAGAAAAGTTAACATTAAACGTGGCGAAAGGCCGAAAAGCCAGAGCACGAAACAGCATCGCTGGATGGAGGGGGCTTGGGACTGGGGACTGGAGGCAGAGCCAGTGGCAGCGGCAGTGCCACAGATTGGGGCTAGAGAAGCAAGTAATTCGCATGCGGCACGTTACATTCTCGCAATAAAAAATGAAAACCGTTTTGCATGCATGTGCCGGCGTCTCCGATGTGTGTGAGTGCAAAAAGTAATAAATGTACGTGCCTTACTAAAGCACAACAACAACAACAACAACAGCAATGACAATACCAACAAGAGCAATAGCAATGGCAGCAACAATGGAAACTACACACGCACTCATACTAACGCATACGTGTAAATTTAGAGCCAAAAAGATGGCGCGCTTCCGTTTCCGCTTTTACTCGCTCGCACATGTCACGCTGCATGCAAATGCACGCATGTCCGCGGCTGTACATGTATGTATGACTTTTAGCTAGTCGAGCGTACAATAAATGCAATAAAAATAAACTACAATTTTCTTTGACTACTCTTGCAGTAGTTATGCAGCGTATAGCTTTAGATGCGCCCCTCTGTCACACCCCCTCACAGCAACGTCGCATGCCCCACAGCCAGATACACATTACTTTCTATTATGCGCATTCTTTTCCTTTGCGTTTTTTTTTTGTGCTTCGCTTTGGAGTGGGCGCTCTGTGGGGGGCAGCTGGGCGGGAGGGGCTACTGGGCTGGGCGATGGGGGTCGTGCGCTTTCGCGTTTGAAGTAGCTTTGGATTGTATAAAAGTAACCATAGCTACCATAATTTAATGAAAACATAATCTGCATGCATAAAAAACGCACAAACTCATGCTGATATCGCGAGAGTGGCAGAGACAGTGGGATAGGGAGAGAGTGGGAGAGCGAGAGGGGCGACGGCAAGCGCACGGCAAATATTTTATTAAATGCGTACCTGTTTTTTTTATCATATTTTTTTTTTTAGAGATTCCACGACTGTTTGCTAACCGAATATTGTTTTCTTTACGCTTGATTGCAATTCCGAATTGCATATCTTCAAGACGGCTGAAATCGACCAAGGAGGCATAGGAGTAAGCAAAGATGGTAAAGGTTTTGACGCAGGTTTCCAGCCGACTATAAAGGAGTATACTGCATATGATCAGACTGTAAGCGGGCAGACTAGAAAGGCTCAGACTGTAAAGTAACAGACAGTAAAGGAGCAGACTGTAAAGTAACAGACTGTTAAGTAGCAGACTGTAAAATAAAGGTGCGGAAAAGCAACAGACTGTAAAGGATGGCCTATGAGCTGCCAAACTGATCGAGATTGCATCTGTGGAGGAGTTAAGTTCTACTTGGATGTTCACATACAGCAAATATATTAAACGAAATTTAATAAAAAATAGAAAAGGAATGAATCAAGCTTAAAGTACCAAACTCAGTCAGAGTAATTTAAAACAGTCAGCCACTTACTCTCATTTGCCTCTATAGAGTCCGATGTCTTCTGTTTCTTTGTTTATTGTTTTACATGCATATAGTATGATCAATAAACAATAAACTGTGCTTTGTACCTCCATTCATTCCGTCGACATCTTACGCATACAAAATTGGCATTTTATTAGCTGTGAGCTCAGACGCTTTGCCAGCTACTCAAAGACAAGCCGAGGCAGGCATTTCCAAGTATCTGGTTTCGTTTAATTCCAATTTTTTTCCGCTCGCTTCTCAATTTCCTATTTTTAATTTTTCCGCGTAGATTTTGATGGGGTTTTCCATTTTGCCCGCCGCGCTGTTGGGCACAACAATAACTTGAGCAGCTCGACTTGAGTAGCTCGCAGAAAAGTTTCCAAGACAACTCCTTTAGTGGCAGCGCAGTATCTGCAGAAGGCAAAGGAGAAGAAAAAAACAAGCAAGAAGGACTTGCTAAATATCCTTTAGCCTTTGCGAAATCAGTAAAGCGCAAAGGACCACTTGTGAATACGCTTTGATGCGCGCGGCTTTGAGTGCGAGTGTGACTGCCGGCGCCGTCTTGCCAAGGCTCAGAAGCAAGTGCAGGACGATGGCGACCGTGCCAACGGGGGCGGGGAGGGGTAGGGCTGCGAGGGCTTGAGCTGCGCCTGGAATTATACCTCACTCTTTCGACCCGCAGCGAGTGCTTGATATTTATTTTGAGTTGGCTTTCAGCGCTGCCTTTGTTGCTGCGGCTGTGTTGGCATCAAGTATTTCGTGAGTAGCGCAAAATACGCGAGCGCGAAATGTAATAAAAACATTTTTTGCAGCACACCAACAACAGCAACGGCGACGGCAACGGCAGCGGGAAAGGCGACAGCAGTTGGACAGCCAACATCTTATTTTTTTTTTTTTTTTATTCCATCGTCCTACTAAAGCCGATTTCTATTACTGCTTGGAGCTACTAAAGCTCGTCGTAGTCAGCGGGGCAGCTGCTGCTGCTGCTGCTGCTGCTGCTGTTGGTTCTGGTTCAAAAGTATCTACAAGATATTTTTAATACATGCACGCGAGTTAGCTCGCTTGCATACATATACTTCCACGTATATACATATGTATGTATGTGCGTGCTAAATTTGTTGCTTTTATTGGCAGCATAATGAAAAACATTCCTCTTACATACACACACAAATATGTAATGCATTTAGTATTTTTGTATTTAGGTTTCCTTTTCGTTCTTTTTCGAGATACGAAATTTCGAAATGTGCTGCAACATTTTACTTTAAATATTTATAGACAGCATTTGCATATTTGCAGGCGTTACGCCCCCTTTAGAAACATGATGTTGCCTCATTTGCATTTGGCTTCTGACCCGACTAGGCCAGGCCAGGCCAGGGCAGGGCAGGCGCAAAAGTCAATCTGCAGTGAACTGTGGCCACAGA